AGGAAATACATAACTATCCCAGAGACAAGACGTTAGAGGTTAATAACAAATATTGTTTATACCAAACAAAAACTACTGATGAACAATTATATTATAATTCTGTTCATCCTGCCCTTAGTTAGTTACTTAGCACGACCATTACGTCCTGCCAATACCTCATAAATAATAGGCTATATGTAGAAAGACGGAAAAGATATATACTTGATTTCAGTCAGAAAATAAAAGAACAAACAGAAGATAAAAATGTTTAATGGCTGTTTCAATGAAAAAGTTATCAATTTCAAATCTTTTCATTTGTACCCTCTTACTTCTTAAAATAATGACCAGCATTCATATTTATGATTGTTATTGCAATATTTTGTTAAAGTTGTTAAGTTCAAATATTTAATGATATCATATGGGAATTTCTACAGATATTTTCTTGTAGAACTTGCTATAAACTTAACCATTAACTTATGAATTAAGATTCATCAGAAAATTCAAATAGGAAAACCCTGAAATTATCACAGGTCTTTCTAGAAATTGTTCAAGTTGTTAAGCTCAAATACTTAACAATGCGATTCTTTAACCTCTACAGATATTTTAATGTCATAGAACTAGCCATGTGCTTATTCAATCATTAACTTAACTCTTAAGTTTCATCAGAGTATTAAAATAGGAAAACCATGAAATTTTCACTAGTAGTATAAAATAATAAAATACTAAAAAAATACATCATTTGTTCATGTTAGATAAATATTTTGTACACATCATGAAATGCCTTTCACATCATTATAAGCTATTTGTTTATCATTAGGTATTGTGAGAGAAGATTTAGTGACACCAAACCAAAGAGATTTTCAAAAAGCATAAATATTTATTTTTCACTGATCTTTCCTCTTATTCTCAGAGTTTATTATAATATTGCACAGAATGGAAATGGTTCATCTAAGAAGTTCAAACAACTCAAAACTATTACATCTAATACTGCTAGTGTAAACAAACAGTATAGTGTACTAGTAGATTAAAGAGCAAAAACATCTAGTTATATTACTAAGAAAAATAATGTCTACAAGTTCAGTTTCCGTAGCTAAATCAATAGGGTGCTGTCACTATAGAGAAAGATATAGAATGTCAGTTCTCACTGAAAACTGTTTTTTATTTCCAATTCATGTTTGCTTAATTATTATGAAATAATTGTAAAAATGACTTTACAGATAAAAAGGAAGAAGAGTTCATGAAAGTTAAAAATTAATAAAGAAAACTATATTATCATTAACCTTTATCACTCTGTGACTTCATTTGCTGTACATAAAGTTTATCCTGCTACTGAAGGTGACTCTGATCACTGAACAATAGTGTTTGAATTTCATAGTTGTGTTGTCATATCCTGCTATGGTAACAGATAACAACTTTGAGTGAAATTACCAGTAAGGATGCTGCAATTGAGTGGCCTTGAAAAAGAATGCAGTGGAAAGGGAAGTAATATTAATAAAGCAGCATGTTAAAATTTAAAAAAAAAAAATAATTTGGTTTCATTTAAAGATGGGATTATCGGAATCCAAATAACAAGAAAACTGATCTTATTTTCATTTTTAATGTCATTTTAGGATTAGACTTTTTCCTTCATTGATTTTACAAGCAGATTTTAAAATCAGAACTTAGCCAAGATGTTGTCATGGGAATCCAAATTAAAAACTTATGTATCGTACTCAAAACAAACATCTGCCTAATATCTACCAACCTAAAAAAGTTATTTGATGAGAGATTTTTTTTCTAGATTTAGATAATGCAAATAAAATGTTTCGCAATGTCAGTCAGTGTAGGAAGTGGAGATTATACAAGTTATTAATGGTACATATAAAAACGAATTAGTTAAGACAGGAAAAGCAAATGATTTCTCTGATCAAAACACAAAAGATATTTTTTTTTAAAAAAGTGATTTTTTTTGTAAAGTAAACAATTTAAAAGATTTTAAACATTTTTGGTTTTATGCTCAACCTAAAATATCTTCTACAAAAAAATATCAATAAAACAAAGATGAAGAAAAGTACAGAAAGGTAAAAGCAGAAGACAAACACATAAAAGGCAGGAAAAACTTAATATGGCCAACCCAATTTTTTTCTACTTATATGAGAGAAAGGAAGATCAAACAGAACCTTTGAATTCAAAATTTCAGTGATTTTTTTTTGCCATAGATGGAATGTTGCAGAGTATTTAAATCAAGAATATTTTGCACAGAACAAAAAAATAAAATCAAAAGCTAAAATGAAAAGTAAAAAAATTAAAAAGCCAACAAAAAACAAGCAAAAAACATAACAATTAAATAAAAATAAAAATTAAAAATAAATGGGTTTTTACCTAGCTTCATATAATGGGGGTTAAAAAAACCCAAAACAAATAAATACTACTTGCAAAATCCACACAGCTGAATTTTAATGTCAAAAGTATCTTTAAATACAACCAACAATTTCCATTTTGCAGTTAGTACTATTTTTGAAGATAGCATTAAAATGACTCAAAACCTGAGGACAGTAATTTTGTCAGAGGAGCAGTTATATTAAACCCTAAATTGGAAATTTCTTTTTGTATCTTTACATATGCAAATCATGCTGCTGTGTAAAGATTCATTAATCAAAGAATCAGCACCAAAAATGAATTCTTCATCTGCCCTTTTCCAATATTTGTCACTGAAATTGATTTTGCAGGAAATTAGTATTTTTGCTGTTTTTAATAACTGTCACTGTGGATTTTAAAAGGTAGTTGCATTTGGCAGTAGGGGAGGATTTTCATAATTAAAATAATAAAAACATTTAAGCCAGGTAAAAACTCATCACAAAAAGAAAAAAAAAAGAAAAAAAATTTAAATAAAAAATGAAAAGAAATTTATCTAAATCTGAAATTTTTTTGTTGTTTCCATAACATAAAAACAAAAAAGACAGTAAACAAGAAATTTCACAACTGAATAAATAACTTAAAATTTGAATTAAAAATGAAGGGAGATGCCAATTTGGAAGGGAATTTTTAAAAATACTAAAGTAATCATTATATAAAAATTACATCAATGTTCTTCCCAGAATTCCATTGGGCTTGTATAATAACTTTGAGAAAAAAAAAAAAATTAACAAAAATCTGAATGACAAAAGGGCTTAGAACTATTCAATGTTTAGAGTTATTTATAATTTCAAGGTTTTGCACAAGGCTAAGCTAGATAAAGTAAACCTGAACAAATTTCAATATAAAATTTTCTGATAGTAATTAACTGTCAATTTTTTATTTATTAAATATTGTAGTTTTAAAAAATTATAGCAAATTTTTTTCAGATTTTATTTTTTGCCAACAATTGTATTAAATGCATAATGTTTTCTGATTTTAAATTGCTTTTCCAATTCCTCTTTCTAAATGTAAGCACCTGAAACATTTATAACAAATGAGATGTTTTCTAAACTTTTAAGATGTTGTCTTCTATATTCTATAGATCTTTAGGATTATTGTATGTATTTAGCTTTGTTTTATAACTCAATAATATTCCAAATACATTCAAACTCTTCACAAAGATATGTTGCATCTGGGAGTCTTCAGAAATCGCGTCATACTTTTTCTTCATTTCCTCAATGCCAATCACAGTTCAATAAATTATAAACCTGAATGTTAAGGTCTTGTATAAATAAAAATGTGAAAATAGATAAGACTGGCTGGACAACATACTTTCATCCAATAAAGCAAAAATGCCTTCTGTGTTTGAACCATGTTAAAAGAAGTTAACAATGTCAGAGTCAAATTTTACAAAACAACTTCTGAAGACCACTTGCTTTTCTTACTTAACCTTTAGCACTCTGTAGGAGACTTTTTTTTTTTATGGCAGCACCTAAAACAATCTTGACTGAAATTGAGAGCCAGGCTACTGCAATTTCAAATATATAGAACTAATAATATATAAACACTATATTTTGAGGGGATTCCATACACAGTAAAAGGGGAAGTAATATTTATAAACTAGGCAGTGTGCTAAATGTTAAAAGAAGTGCACACTACATATTTTTTGTGAAGCAGAAATGAAATTAAACCACTGATTTTGCTAATTAACATAATTAGCATAAGACTCTGGGTAATAACATACAGATAGTTAATATTAAAAAAATCTTCATTTTTTTTTTTTTTCAGAAAGTATATAAACGAATTATATTGTTCACTTAAAGCATTTTAATGTATTTCTTGACATTGCAAGTAGTCCAATCTCAACAATTCACTCTGATTTTGACTTGCAAAAATTGGAAAAAATAAACAAACATTAAATTTAATAAAATAAAACCATGACTTGTAGAATGCATGGTAAATTTTTTTTAGATGTATTTTTTGGGAAAAAACAGCATCTTCAAATATAAAGAAATCTTATTCGTAGGAAATACTAAAATGAGTCTCAGCTCAAGTCTAAAATTTCTTTCAAATTTTTCCATCTGTTACTCATGATTTTAATGCTTTTTTTGTATTTTTAAAAATTTAAATTTTTAAAAATTAGGCAATTATTTTGTATAAGTAAAAATAAGAACTAATTCAAAGCATCAATTTTCTAGTTTGTTGTTATCAAGAATCAAATTGAAAATAATGTATAACAATATCTGGAAAAAATTTTCTTAACAATTCTGACAATAATTTCCTTTGTCTTTCCTTCATTTCTATCAACTCAGTTTGATCCCCACCATTATCTTTTTGGGTTTTTTTCCCCAGAATAATTTAGTCTGACACTTATTCTCCTCAGACAAGCAAAACGTGGCAAAAAATATCCTGCCACTAACAGTGTCCCATTTTGTCTGGAACAAAATTAGAAAAATAAATAGCTTTCATGTTTCAGTACAAAAATGATAGGTTAATTTGACTTTTAGCTTCAATAGCTTCATTATAAGATTATTATATTACAAATATGACATTTAGTGGAATTTTTAATGGTTGCCTATGAGTAAGAACATTTCTGTAACTTATATAATGATTGTCAAATTAAAATTTGGACTAAGATGCATGCTTTAGGTGAGATAAAAGATGGGAGAGAGAGAGAGAGAGAGGGGTGGGGAGCTATTTTTGTTAAATAAAAGAGAGAGTGAAAAAGAGAGAAAGGAATCCTAGGCAAAGTATTTATTTATTCTGTCGCTAACAAAATCAGTGTGAGTTGTTTGTGAAGACAATTCTAACAGTTCTAAGCTGGGATTTAAAAGTGTGCTTCCCTTCATTTAGTATTCACACAAACCTGTGTTGTTTTCCGCAGGGGAGAGCTCTCCTTGGAAGTTCTGTTGCTTGGGACACTGGACTGACTAGTAACAACATTAACAGGTATTTGCATTGCCTTTGGATTGTTACAGCTACTCCCCGACAACGAAGAATCACTTTCGGAACCAGAAACAGTTAATCGGTCTTTGCTCACAGTGATCCCCACTTTAGGGGGAACTGCAGGCTTCCCGCTCCCAGCCGTACTTGCGACCAAGACCGGTTTATTTGGTGGGATTGGGGGCGGAGTCCCCCGCCCGACAGACACAGACTTCCGAGTTGGGCCTGAACTTTGACCAATCTGGAATGAAATTTTGCCTCCTGACGTGCTGACCACAGTCGTACCGCCAGCACTGACACTAATCCGATTTCCAGATGATCCTTCGGACACTATCCGGATGTCTGATGCTGGGCTGAACATTTCTCCAGGAGAGATTGGTCGCTTCTCTGGTGACGAAGTTGAATGGTTGCTGTTTATTTGAAGGGCTGTTTTTTTACCATCATTTGAAGCTGAACGCATTGCTGAGGATGAAGAATTCTCTAAGACTATAGAACCAGGAGGTATATGTACAGTTTTTGCAACAGAAGTAGCAGCCGGTGCCACTGAAACAGTACGGTCTGTGCATGGTTCCTTATTCGATGAGCAACTACTTAAAGCAGTTCCTGTATTTTTAGAATCAGCATCTTTGATGCTTTGCGAAATCATAAGTTTGCAATGCAACTCATCGACCTGCTGCCGTAGACTGTCTGCTTCGGATTGAAGTTCCTTATTTTTATTTTCCTCGCGTATCACTCGACTTCGAAGTTGTTCTCGTTCTGTGTCAAATTCGCTTAACTGCTTTTCCATTGCTGCCTCCATCTTCAGAGATTTTCGACTCTCATGAACTAAGCCTTCAGCCATACTGATCATTTTATCTTTCTCGTCATTTAGAATGTGTTCCATTTCACTGCACTTGTGTTTTTCTTGTAGAATCCTCTCACCCAATTTGCGACGCTCCCTTATCAACATTAAAGCGACTTGTTTATGTTTGGCAGAATTTGCTCTTTCTTCTTCCAGGCTTGCCAATGTCTTCTTGAGATCTTTTTCCATTCGTCTGTTTTGAGTTTTCTCAAATTCAACCTGAAACACAAGCAAAGAGAAAGCCAATCATTTCATTTATATAAACAAGTAATATTTATATATGTAAACATTTTTAACTATCAGCCTCTAAGAGACTTCAATTGTTAAGTCCATAGAGTTCTAGCTGAATTTTGACCAAATTCCTGACTGAAATCTTGAAAAATCTGATCCTTCATTTCTTGATCTCTGTATATTCCTATGACAAAAAGTGGAGGATCAATTTTTATTTTTTTTTTATTACAACTAAGTAATGAATCTTTGGGCATTTAACTTGAAGCCCAATATTTCGTTTTAACCTTATAACCCCATAGATTTCAATTGTTAAATCAATGGAGTCCTGACTGTATCTTTAAAAAATCTGATAACTCATTTTCATAAGCTCTGTATATTTCCATTATATATATATATATATATATATATATATATATATATATATATATATATATATATATATATATATATATTTTTTACAAATTCAAATTTCCATAATATAGGTTTAATTTAATTAGAGACTATATTTCCATAATGTTCACTCCCCTCTAACTCTTCAAATGTCGAATGTATAAGTAATCCTAATTTCTATATTACCCACTCTCTTTACACGATATTAATTATAATTTATAAATTTTCCCCTCCTCTAAGATTTCACTCCCCCAACTCTCTTTCCATTAATCCCTTACATGCTTTTATCTATATATGTTAAAGTTATTTTAAAAACCCTTTTTATTCCTCTTTTAATTTTAAATTAATATTTCATTCTTCATATAACCCCAAATTAATGTCATAAGGTTAATATTTGGGTTTAATTTTATAAAGCTTCTTCTCTTTAAGACAAATACCTTCCACCATCCCCTGACCTCTGCCTTGTGCCTTTCGTCTGACTGAAACACTGAAATCGATAAATTCTGGATTAGGTTTTTTGACTGTTTTTTATTTATTTTTTTTAGCTTTCACAGTTAAATTTCTATTTCTGACACAAACTCATTCCACACCAGGGTTGATAAGACAGACAACTGATATCTTTGTCTGCCAGAATAGAATATTATGAGGTGATTTTGGATTTTATTGTTTATTAATTATTTGCTCTGTAACAATAAATACATTGAGCTCTTTTTGTGGATCAGTTTTAATATTTTATATTACTAGGATCCACTTGAATTATATATCAATGGATTTGTTACCTTTATATATATATATATATCTATATATGAGGCATGGTGGAGTAGTAGATAGCGGCTTGGATTAACGAATCTGAGAGCAGAGTCCGAGTTCCAGTCAAATCCATTTGATGCACTTACATGCTAATACCCTTGAGAAAAGTATTAATCCTCCTTCCACCTAAGGTAAATAGCAGGACAGACTGGGTTCTATAGCCTTGGATTGCAACTGGTCTAGGACAAATCTGAATTCAAAACCTGCGGAGGGTCTTTGTATTCAGCCCTTCAAAAAGTGTGGTTGGTTCTGCACAAAGCCTTCACCACTATAATCAAATCATGTGTGCTGGTGTCTAGGCTATCAGTTCCTAGGAACTGAGCAGCTTGACCCTCATGTGTCAAATACAACAGGAGAGTCCACCATATATATATATATATATATATATATATATATATATATATATATATATATATATAAAATTTAGAAATAAATTTATATCACTCTAGAAAGTACTCGACTCCTGCCAGGTTTTATCTTTACAAGAGTTAGATTAGATCAAAAATGCTGCCACGTTTGAACTGGAGCTGTCCCAATTTTCATTTTCCACCTTCGATAGAGTTCAAAATCATTTACATGGTCTTGTCGAAGGCAGGGGGTCTTATTTCCCACTCTACAATCTCTTTCCCACAAATGTAGCCTATCGCTAATCCATTGTTATTTCTATGGCAAATGTTCAGATGAGCTCCATTCTTTAGTTTCACCAGTTCAGGCCTTTACATCGAAGACACACCATGCTATTTCCATACCAAGTTGAATCATACTCATTTTCTCCATATTTCCAATGTAAGGAGAAAGTTCCACTCAAAAATCGTTTTCTTAAAGAACTGACACTTTGTGGAACAAATTCCTATATGAGTGCTTACCTGAACACAACAATCTTAATATCGATCATCATAAAAAAAACCATCTTCCTTTTCTAACACTTCTTTCATTCATATTACACAGCACATTCATCATAACCATTCTACCTCGAGTGAACTTTAGAGTTAAAAAAAATGTCTTCTCTTAAAGTTATAGGTGAAATTAAGGAGAATGTAATGGAGCAGCTGGTGTTGATCTCAAAAGAAAACTTTGCAGACTGTTTTGAAAAGTGTGATAGATGCTGAGGTAAGTGAATAGATGCTGAGAGGAGCCCTTTGAAGAAGAAGAAGAAGAAGAAGAAAGGCACTGTTGCCCTAGGTAGGATATCATCAATCAATGCAACATCAATCGCCATCTTCTATCTTCTTGAACCCTGTTCAGCTTTTATTCTTCCCTCAGTTCTCCCTTCCTTCTCTCAATCTTCACTCCCTATAACCACCTGCATACTAGTGGTATTCCCTTGCTTAGGGTTAAAAAAGAAAAAAAATATTTTTTGGAAATATTAAATGTCATTTCAGACCTGTTACATATTTGGGACACTTTTATATAGAGCAGATGTTGACAATCTAGTCTGACAGGCCATTTCTGCTGTAATGAATTTGATCTTTATTAGGTGCTCCGTATTTGTGGCCTTGTGCCAAACTAGGCTTAGTAAATATGTATTTGTTGACCTAAATCCTAATCCATTATCATTTAATCCAAACTCCTAGCACATTAACATCATTTATAAAACTATCACATGAAATGTAAGGGACTATTTTTAAACATTTCTTTACAAACAAAGCCTGTTATCGGACAACAAATATGTTAATACATCTTGTTTATGCGATGGTTCTTGGACAAAAAAGTACCTGACCATTGTGATTAAAAGCAACAAAAATATGATTAAAGAAAAACTAGCCAGAAATTAATGACAATGGTTCATCAAAGAAATCTAGACAACTTAAAACTATTATGTCTTTTTACAATGAATTTCTGTTTCTACAACCATTAAAAAAGGAGCACAGATCAAAAATAAAATGACTTGAACATTGAGATAAAAAGTAACAAAATTAGGATGGTTGTCTCCATTGGTAGTTGTATAATTAAAAGGAAAAAACTCGTAGTTCTAACGAATGATTTATTTTATGGAAATATTTCAACTAGCAGTTGCCAGTCATGGTCACTCCTTAATTCAAGTAAAACAGTGCAAAGAAACTAGAAACGCTTAAGAATTCAAATCAAGGAAAAAAACTGAGTTGATGACTTTTAATTAAAAAGAAACAAAAATAAGATGAAAGAAAAACTAGCCAAAAATGAATAATAATGATAATGCTTTATCTAAAAAACTTAGACAATGTAAAAATATTACATCTATTTAAAATGCATTTCTATGATTGTTAAGCTGCTTGGATTGAAAATAAAATGACTTTAATGCTTCAGAAAAAAAAGAAATTCAGGCAACAAAACTATTATATCTAATACTAGGTGGAAAAAAAAGTATAAATTAAAGCTAAAAGAAAACTAGTCAAAATTTGCTACTAATGGTGATAAGACTTTGCCCCAGGAAAAACATAATTGAAAAATGCTGGTTTTTACTTGAGTTTAAAAAGTACAGTGAACCCTATAAGCAATCAATGGACAAAGGAGGTTCCATGGATGGTTGAAGGGCAAAGGGGTTTCCATGGCTGTCTGATGGGTAAAGGGGTGTCTGTGGCCAGCCAATGGGCAAAGGGGCTTCCGCGGCCAGTTGACAGGCAAAGGAGCTTCTGTGGCCAATCATTAGGCAAGATGTCTATTAAATAGCAAAAAAATCATACAAAATTGATGTATAAAAGAAAAGAACCAAACAGAGAATATTGTAAAGTCATGAAATAATGATTTTAAACTAATTAAATGAATTAATTTATCCTAATAATTTTCACTTCCTTCAACCTCATTCAGTAGCCATCTACCAGGAATGGCTCTTGAGCCTGGTATCAAGAAATTCTTCTGGAGAAACAGAAGTATATTCATTGAGTTTTTAAACACATATTTATTTTTAGATTCCTTTGAATTTAATTTTGCAGACAGCTTTCATATTTTTTGCTGCTTGTAAAACAATGTTTTCTTATAAATAAAATGTGAATGAATTATTGCACAACTTGAAAGATGAAAGAATTTGTGTAGAAGATAAGAAATATTAAATGATAAGAAATATTAAAAGATAAGAAATTCTGTGCCAGAAAAGAAATGTTGTGAAATGCAAAGGTTAAGAAATGTCAGTTTTTGTCATTGTGGCTTACTTCCTGCTTGAGACGTTCCCGTTCTTTCTCCAACATGTAAGTAACGTCATCACCCTGTGCTGTATCTTGAGCATGCTTCCTTTTTTCATCTTCAAGTTCACTTAAGACCTGCACAAATGAAAGAAACAAAACAAAGTAAAATTCTCATTTAAAAAAAAAGAAAAAAGTGTCCGAGTTAAATAGCAATAAGTTGGTTCAGATTGCAAAACATCTGAGGTCATAATTCCAACAGTCAAAAATCATAAGTCCAAGGTCATAATTTAGGCTGTCAAAAATTAATCTTGCAAGTCCAACGTTAGAAAATACTGGAACTGTAAATCAAAAGAGGACAAAATAGTGGGTTCATTTTGAAATTCCAAACATCTGAAGAAGACTGAAGCATACAACTGAAACATTGTGAATATGGCAATAAAGATGAGGACAACAGTTCAAACAAAATAATGTAAATAATTAACCCAATTTTGATTCAGATTTTTCTTTTTTTGACAAGTATCACAAAGAACACGAATGCTTTTCCAAAGTAAAACTTGGTTTTCTCCTTCATTACCATAGTGGCGCAAAAAGTTTTAGCCATAAAAAAAAAAATTTCAGAAATTTAACCCATGTTAGACTTCAGCAAGTTGGTGGAGACATTTTTCAAAATCAGAAATCACCAAGATAGAATGTTTATAACCCTTATTCTTAAAAGTCACATATGCATAAAAAATAAATAAATAAATAATAGGATTGTATACATAAGTAAAACTGCTTATTTAATATGTTGCATACTGAAAAAGACAATATTCAGGAAATTAAAAATTGGGCCTGGTCTGAACAGTAACATCAGCAAAACAAACACCAGCTGATATTTTTAAAGACAGAATACAAACATTATGGAAATGGATTTGTTTTCAACAGTAAATGGAGAAATAATGTACATCGATGCAGGAAAGAATCTGTCCGTGTGTCTGTAATACAAGCTCAGTGTTCAAGACAAAACATATGTATGTCAACAAACAGAATGAATCCAGAATAACCAACTAACAAAGCCAAAGAGTTTTACTTTGAAAAGATTGACTTCAAAAAAGTTCAGAGGTTATCTGAGAACCACCATAGTCACAACGCTGAACCAAGACATTCAAAAAACAAGGCAGAAAGATCCGACTTTTCCTTTGGAGAAGTTTACAATCAAGGAAGATCTGCAATGAATCCACAAACTTGCAGAGGACAGAGAAGGCTGACAAAATATTATCGAATCAGTATACAATGTCACTGAAGATGAGAGGACATGTTAATTCATGACCTCAAACAGAACCAGTTTTGATGACAATGATGATGATACATAAGCATCAGCATATGTGTAGGGAATTCAAAATCATTTACAGTCTTTTATAAGTGACTATTTTCCAATCTGCAGCCTTTTTCTCAGAGGCGCAATATTTCTACAATCACTAGTTTCATGGTAAATATTCACATGAACTCCACTCTTTTGTTCTCCCAGTTAGCAAGCACCTTTATAACTAGGATGCACCATGCTACATTTCCCCCATATTCCATTGGTAAGGAAGAAGTTCTATTCAGACAACTTCCCCCAAAAACTATTACACAATGGGACAAACTCCCATGTAGATGCTTTCTTGAACACTACAATCTTAACCTCTTCAAGTCAAGGGTCAATTTATGTATATCCCCCTTATCCTAATAATTTTCACTTCCTTCTACCTCTTACTTTCATATCACACACCTCATTCAGTATCATCTACCAGGAGTGTCTTGTATTGGATGAACTTTAGTTTTAAAAAATAAAAAAGAGCAAGGATCTGCCAAGGATCAGAACATCTCTGTGCTTTGACTCATATCAAACTGTTCCTCTCTTATCTTCTATCTATGATCAGTGTAGAATCTGTGCACTCTGGAAATGAATTTTACAGTGCAGTTCAAGCAGCAGAACACTGGCATAATGGATATATTACTTGCCAGCTTTCTTCTATGCTGAATGTTCAAACTGAAGCAGGATTTACTATATATATATATATATATATATGTATGTGTGTGTGTGTGTGTGAAAAGTGTATATAAATATAAATAAATATATATATGTATTATTATTTATATATTATATATGTGATACTTATTAGAAAGCTCTCAATATCAGAGATAGAGCTAACATGTTTGGTTGGATAGATGTGAGTTTGTGACCCTGGGTTTCAACCCAGGGTCACAAACTCACATCTATCCAACTAAATATATATATATATATATATATATATATATATATATATATATAAAAAAAGGCTCAAAGACTAATATTACATGGTTATAATTTATTACATCTTTTCATGCATACAAAAGGTTAATAAATGCAAATCAGACATCTATATTTTCATATATGCATCAGCAGTATGAATTGGCTGGATTTTAAATTTAGATCATATCAGTCTTTTTTTTTTTTTTATTGCGCCTAATGTCACCACACACGTATCCACACATTTCTGGTGTCTGTTTTTTTAATTTTAGGTCAGCGAATCGGTAGTGATTTATGTATCTGAGAATAATTCATATTTATTTGCATCTCACTCATTTAAACTGTTATTTAACTTCTCTCTTTGAAATTTTAATCCCCCACCTTCACCTTTAGGCCTTCCTGTTCTTCTTCTGTTACACCCTCTCTCTAGAACTTTCTTACATTTCCCTCTCACCCTTGTTTCTCACACCCACACATACACTCTCACTAAAATTTTGTTTTTTTATATATGGTGTTATATATTTCGATTTCTTTTTGAATTTGTAGGTCTGATGAATTGGATCGTGTAATAAATTATAACCATGGAATATTACTGTTTGAGCCTTTTATATTATATTCTTGCTCTGTCTTGGACATTGAGCTCTACCTGGATTCTATTCTCTAAATTCTATATATATATATATATATATATATATATATATATATATATATATATATATATATATGAATGAAAGACTTTATCAAGAGATATGTTTTCTTTCATAAGGGTAACTGAGCCTTGCTTTACTGTGAAATCCTCCATGGCTAAATAAAGAAAATGTGCTCTCCAGCAGTGTTCAAACTTGCATCTCCCTATATAGGGGAAACCCGTTTGATCTGCCATGCTTTAGAATGCCCAGCCACTGAGAGTGTCATAGTCCAGTTTATTTATCATTTTAAGAAATGCAAACACCCGCTTGTTTAGATTTTCTCGAGTGTTCATATGTAAAACGTAAACAAACCAATTCCTAAAGAATTAATGAATATATTCTTAATCCAACATTATTACTTCAAACATTATAGTGAATATTTGAAATAGCCCAGAGCATCTATTTCAAACAATGGTATCCACTAAATTATAAAATAAAAATAAGCAAAAACAAGTAAAATAAAATAATCCAAATAAAGTAAATAATAAACAAGTTAACAAACCACTCCTGCCAAAATAACTGTTAAAATAGACTACCCAAAATGCACCACTGACTCATATATATATATATATAAATAATCAAGAAAAAACAAGACATGTGTCCTGATGATTGCATTTAGCATGAAACTATCACTTCTGAGTGTTGACTTCAATGTTCACTTTTATATTTAAATATGCTCTATCGCTGATATTGAGCACTTTATCCCATTAATATAGCATACCTTAAAACTATATATATATATATATATATACTTATATAACAATTAGGAGATCGGTCGATTCTGCAACCTCCGCCAACAAGAAAAGTTAGCAATAATGACATTTCATGGATCCCAAAAACCTTTTGAATCAAAGGTTTCAAAATTATGAACTATTGCATTCATACAAAAAAAAATTCCTCTTAATTTTATATGAGGCTAAATAAAAATCTGTATATTTCAATTACGCCCCCCCCCCCACCTCTACTGATTCATTTACAATACCTTTTCTTTCTTCCTCCTCCCTTCCTATCATACTCAGCATCATGCATTTGCTTATTTTTTTTAAATTATAAAGTGTTCCTTAATGATTTTTTTAAAAATAAAGCATTGGGGAATCAATTGATACAAACTCCCTGCGAATATTGAAAGGTTGAAACCAAGGTAGCATAATCGACTGATCTACTTTTTTAAATTTAAAAGCTCTACATGTTAAATTTTTATTTTTCTCACGTGTATTGAGCACTTTTTAATACTACTGTTTCCTGGTCTAATCCAACTCTGACCATTAAACTTTTCAGTATTATATATATATATATATTACTAGAAGTGATCAATATTGGTGATAGAGCATTTGAAGATATAAAAAGTGTGGCTATAGAAATCAAAGGTGCATGGTAACTGGTAGTTTCACACCCTAAATAATCATCAAACTATACATTACTCTTCTCTGTGTGCCATTTATACTGACCACTAGGTGTTTACTGTAAATGTGAAAGAAAGGCAAAATCAGTTTTTCTCAGTACTTTATAATTCAACTGTAATTATTTTTTTTATTTACTGCCAGAATTAATGATTTCATGTGTTATCATCAAAATATATTTATTGACATATTTGTTTAGTAAATCCTACCCATGATATACTTATATAAATAGCCAATGTGTTTATGTGAGTGTTATAAATGCAGAACAAAAACATGTTTTCATTATAAAGCAAATGTACAAATGAAATAATTGTCTAAGCTTGCTTGTATGAATAAAAATCACTTTTATATCAAAAGAAAAGAATTTTCAGTGCATCAACTGAGAGACAGGAAGTGAATGATGACATCATTTCCTGTTAAATGTAGAGACACACAAGGAATCTATTATCAAATAAAACTTTAGCTGAATACTGAATTTCACAAATCATTTACTCTGTAAAGGAAATTAGTGACATTTAAACAATTGTTAAATGAAATGTAAATACCAACAATCATGAATTAAATGGGACAAGGCAGAGGAAAAAAAAAGCCTGAGACAAAAAAAACCTGACTCTTCAAATTGCAAAAGAATTATTTTAAAATTTTTTACAACTAACCAAAACTCATAAAGCAGAATTGGTACTGATGGCTAAAATAAAAGAAAGTTTATTTTAAAGTTTCATAAATGAAATAAAATCACTTGATGGTTCCATGAGTGGAATCTGTGAATTTTTTTAATTTTTTAAAAAATTATTTAAAAAGAAAATAAAATGATTTTATGACTAATGAAAATACCCCTTACCATTGTATTCCTAAATTAAACACTATTTTCCGAATACATTCCCTGAAGAAAGTACCCACCATTTCCCGAATACATTCCTATATGGAAAAATATTCCCCCCCCACTATTTTCTGAATGAATTCCTATAGGAATAAGTATCCCACCCACATTTTTCCAGTGCATTCCTATAGGGAATTATCCCCCATTTTCCAATGCAACTCTAGATCTTCTTTTAGCAATGAATTCCTAGAGTAATCTTTCCCAATGCATTCCTAAAGTCACTCTTTTCCAATGAATAAACTCCCAATTTCCAATGCATTCCTAAATGTAAAATATCTTTTATAATATACATTTTTACTTCCAATCAAAAACCTATTTTCAAATATATTTATCAAATAATTCATATTTAAAAATACATAAAAAAAATGGTTTTACAAAATCAAAAATTACATCCCAAAATATGTTTCCTATAAATTGGGCCTGAAAGTCTTAACAGAGAAAAAAAAATCTTTGGGATTTGTACAACTTTATTTGGCAACAATATATAAGAACTGTTCATATATTAAAATCAAATCCAAACCAAATATTTACCTTGTGATATCGCTTTTCTACTTGAGCCAACTGTTCCCGCATTTTTAATTGTGCCTTTCTTTGGGTTGCAATGAGGTTTTCTAACTGAGCAAGTTGGTTATCATACAT